TATATTGTCAATACCCTATAGTCTATACACTCTATACACTCTATAGTCTATATAGTCTATACTCTAAAGTCTTTGTGGTCAATACCCTATAGTCTCTATATTCTATACTCTATCGTCTATATAGTCAATATACTATATATGTATATATATACTCTATAGCCTTCATGGTCATTACTCAATAGTCTATAGTCTATATACTTAATATATTCTATAGTCTATAATCTATAGTTTCTATACTCTATATATTCTATAGTCTATATAGCAAATAGTCTATACAAGCTATATACTCTATAGTCTATATAGTCAATATACTTTATAGTCTATATAGTCAATACCCTATAGTCTCTATATTCTATACACTATAGTCTATATAGTCAATATACTCTATAGTCTCTATACTCTATGTATTCTATAGTCTATATAGTCAGTACTCTATAGTCTCCATAGTATATAGCATATATAGTGTATACTCTATAGTCACTCTATGAAGTCAATATATTGGAGGGGTGATACCAAAATGACTGACAGTTGATATGATGATATTATTCAGTACATGAATTGCTTTTTTGTTATTGTACACGCTTATTTATATTTTTCTGCCCTTTTTCATGCAGACCAAGCTATCCAGCAGACAGTGATAGGGGGTGGTACAAACTATGAAACTGCCAGGGGGCTTTTGCAGCTGCAGCAACAATTTTTGTTTTAAAAGCAGAACTACAACCTCTTATCTTTTACAGCAGGGGTAGCCAAACTCCAGCCCTCCACCAGTGGTGCAACTACAAATCCCATGAGGCATTGCAAGACTGACAGGCACAGCCATGATTTCCAGAGGCAGATGCCTAATGGGATTTGTAGTTTCACCACAGCTGGTTTTCCTACCCATGCTTTACAGCCAAGGAAGGTACCATCTTAGCATATATTTGAATTCCAGTTGCCATGGTGATGCGCATGTGATCAGCTATGACACTAGCCAATGGAAGGCATGAGCTGAAATAAGCACACTGACAACCTTGACAGTTGATATGCCTTGTAAGTAACTGTTTTGGAAAACCATTAAATTGGTGGGTCACTTTCCACTTTGAGGCCCACTCACACCAGGGTGGAAGAGATTCAGTGTGGTTTCAGAGCGGTTTCCTCACAATTTTTGAAAGGGCTTTTTGGGTGTTTTTAATCGCGTTTCAGCGTTGAAACGCAACTAAACACGCGCTAATCAGCGCATTTCCATTGCAATATATATGGAAAATGCACTGATCAGCATGAATAAGTAGCTCAGGGTGCATTTTGGGCAGCAGGCGGTTCGGAATGTGCAGAGTCACGCGATTGCATGAACAGTCCCCGTAGGAATGTATGAACAAACCCATGCGACTGAACTGCCCTGGTGTGAACGGGGCCTAAGTTATAATCCTTGTGGATGAAAGGTGACTGTTGGCACCCCAGGCCTGTTATATTTTCCCCCAACCCCTGTCACTGTCACAGTGCAAGTGGAGAGAAATATAAATAACGGTATGTAAAATACAAAACAATTTGATATACTGAACACTATCATTATACAGTATACTGTATGGGGGAAATTGATCAAAACTGGAGCAGTTGCCCATGGCAACTAATCAGCTTCTCTCTTCAGTCTGTTCAGTTAAGGTTTGAAAATGAAAGAGAGAAGATGATTGGTTGTCCAGAAATTTGTCTGCTCCAGTTTTTATAAATATATGTATTAACCACGTACAGGTACACAACATTTTTCATGCATATTGTCCTTTACTAAGAAATTATTTAAACCAAAGATGATTATGCATGTAAATTAAATCTGCAAACCTGTTGACTATCCAAGGCTTGTCATTGCTGAGCTTTCTGCACATACAGTATAGCAGTGGGTTAGGAATTTAAACATTTTCACCCCAGTTATCCTCTAAGATGCTAGATATACTGTATGTGTATTGTGTAATATGGAATATGTATAATCTCATCATCATCAAAATAATGAGTAAATATCATCTTTAAAGGATTAAAGTAAACTCCCAGCATATACTATCCTGTTATAACAACAGCATTTTATTAGCAATACATTCTATAGTTGTTTATGACAATACAGTCAAAGCTTACTCAAAAAAATCCCTTGTATGTAGTGAGTGCTGCCTTCTGCCTGCCCATCACTTTCATCAACTTCTTGGATTCCCAGGGTGCTTTGTGTCTTTCCTTCTGCTTGATGTGATGCAAGCTTTATTTCTCAAGACTGCATATCCCATGATGCATTGCTTCCAGCAAGCAGTGATGATGTTACATTGTTCAGATGTTGAGTTGTAGTTGTAGTTCACAAGGCAGGCTCTGTGAGAGAGTGCATATTCACAGGGCTGAGTGAAATTGTGTCAGTGCACAGAGGAAGTACATCCTAGGAACATCTTCAATAAGTCAATTTACAAACTTCTAGATGGATATGATTATTAGGGGTGGGATAGAACTTATGGAAATTTAATATAGAAATTCCCATTTATTTTTAGTTTTTGACCATAGATACCTTTAAATAATTCTAACTGTTTTCGCTGTAACTAATCTGGAAGGTGTGCAATTATTAATTTAGATCTGTGATGGCTAATATATGTTTTTATCTTTATGTCAGATCTCCCTCCTGTAAGATGTGACCTCCAAGTGAAAAGGAACAACAGTGAACATCGTACCATTGGCCTAAGCACAGAGGCGCGCCTGTTTCTAAGACGGGGACAGGAATTTATGATCACATTACAGTTTCGAAACCAAACTCTAAGACAGGAGGATCTGAGCAGATTCAGTCTCATTGTAAAAACAGGTGAGATAAAACCTGGATTAAATGATATGTGAGGGCAATGACAAAGGACAATATCCTCACTACAGGCACGACGTACGTTGGCATTGCGTCCTGTAGTTCCCATCAACAAACTGACCAAACCAGCCCAGATCTGCTAAAGGATAGAGGAACTGACAAGATTACTAGGTATTTGCTGGAAAAACACTGCGCAGTGGCAGAAGAATTCACATGCACAATAGAGTTTAATAAAAAGGGAACGTCAAACTTCAATATTAAAGTGACACTAAACTCAGGAGTTACTGTAAATATTAAAAATGCATTCGAGTGCCTTAAAGGAGAACTATGAGGTGAGTGCTTTTCACTCACCTCGTAGTTCTAGCCGACCTGTGACAATGAGACTGTCACAGGTCGGCTCAGTAGATCGAGAAGTGAGCGAACAGATACCTGCGTTCGCTCACCTCTCGATCCTGTCACAGCTCTCTGCCATGACAGGGGAGGGGCTAGATTCCCCCCTCCCCGCTCCGATCCGCCAACGCTGACTGGCGGATGGGACGGGGGAGGGGACGGGTACAGCTGGCTCTGCCTCTGGATAGGCAGAGCCAGCTGTCAGTCATGCAGCTGGGCGGATCCAGACATAATTGTCGGGATCCGCTTCAGCTGCGGCGTATACCGCAAGCAGTAGCTCACGGTGTAATGTGGCGTCTCAGTATACCGCGAGCTGTAGCTCTCCTGTAGTTCTCCTTTAACTATTATCAAAAAAATGATCTTATTTGTGTATCACTCTGCTTTAGGTCCTCAAATCCTCTTTGAATTGATGCTGACACTGTTCTTCCTTCTGGAAGGTGGCTACTTTTCTTCCCCTAATTACAGTACACTTGGAGGGCTTTTAATCTCTGGGAAAAATTAGGTTTTTGGACATTTACTGAATGCAATCTAGAAAGAGCAGCAGAGGGGATGCGAGTTGTCCTACTGCCATGTGATTTTTTTTATTGTATTGATTTTCCCTTTAAATATCCCTTTCATTATAAAATACACTATTATTGGACTGATTGAAAGTGGTCCAACAAAATTGGTTTGGATTGAACAGTGCAACAACATTTGTTCTCCTAAATTTAAAGTAATTGTATTTTTTATTTGTTTTGCAATAACAATGCAGTAAGAGGAGCAAGGCTACCTTTACTTGGCATCATATTTGCTGCAGCAGTCCAACACTGATCGAGAGACACTGTACCATTGCTCCTTATGCTGGCCATACACCTGGTTAATTTCAACCACTTTCAATCCACCAGGAATCACAAATATCCAAAGTAACTGCCAGAAACTAAGCAATCTACCACCCATGAGTTTGATCAACCATCAGAATTAGGGTTTGCATGGATCTAGTGTGCCTTTCAATGCGCAAAATTTCAGTTGAAACTATTGAAAAAGAAACTATGAAAATGTTCTCAGAAGCAATCTGATTTTTCTGCTGTGTTGATTGAGGTCATTTCAAATTTATCTCCTTGCAGCCGATCAAAACCACCATTTTATGTCTTCGATTGCTTTTCAATTTCAACAAAAAATTAAATGGCACGTTTGATCGCTTGACCAACTGGCCACACATAATGGCCAGCTTGAGATACAGGCCAAAAGCCATTGGCTGATTTAATTGACCAGTATTAGGGGAAATGATCCTTTAAAAACGCTAACTGAAATTTTCACTTTTCAGGTCCCAAACCTTCAAAACAGGATGGAACTAAGAACAGTTTTCCTATATCCAGCCTTAGTGACAGGAAGACATGGAGTGCCCGGGTCGTTGATTTTAGAGAAGGCTTGTGGAAAGTGTGTGTCAACTCACCAGTGAATGCGATCATTGGATACTACACAATGTCAATCAAAATCTCCAGTGGAGTAATTGAAAACTTGGGGGAGTTCATGATGCTTTTTAACCCTTGGTGTGAGGGTAAGTTTATGTGTAAGGCAATATTTAGCCTTTTCACTGTCCTGTTTGAAATAAAGTTAAAACCAGTCCTTGACTAATAACAGATCATTGATTTGTATTTTGATGTCATTAGCTGATCCTAATCCCCATTTATATTGCTTAAATGTTTAACCCCTTAGTGCCACAGCTTCAGAAAATGTTTACGTTCCTGAGGACCGTGGCAATTTTTCCATTGTTGCTATGTGTTTGTTTAACAATCATTTCCATCTTCCGCATACATTGCAACTACACCTTTAATCAGTACTCTATAGTCTCCATTAGGGATACACCGATACCGATATTTCGGTATCGAGTATGAGTACCTTTATTTTTTCCCGGTTTTCGCTGATACTGAATACCGAGTACCGCAAGTCCCATTCAGGAAGCCAGGCAGCGTGTAAAGACTCGCCACCCGGCTTCCCGTTTAGCAGGGAAGCTGTCCCCATGCTTCTTCGTCACTAGGTGACGAGAAAGCATGGAGCCAGCTTTCAAGGACAAAATGGGCTTCATTTTGATGTGACATATGCATATATAAATTCTGATCTTATTTATACAAAATACAAAAATCAGTTTTGGCAATAATAATGTGTAAATAATTAGTAATAATTAGTGTAGCTAACAAAAAGTCCTGTTGTCCTGATTCATAGGGTATATCATATGTCTAGGATTTCAGTGTATTTTGGGAGTTATAGGTCACACAATACATGGAGTGAAATGCAATTTTAGTGTGGAACAATTTTAGAATGTGGTATGTTTGTCTCCTAACTTTAATAGCCTCATCAGGCACTAGATTTTCTTTTCCTTTTTTTTATGTTAACATATTTTTTTAACAATTTAAAAAACTTTATTTTTTGTGTTTAAATGTATTTTTTTTGACCAAGGGGCACTAAGGGGTAATTTTTTTATTTACAGGGGCTTTGATACAGTTTTTCCCTCGGAGATACTTTGTATCAGTTTGTAACACACAGCTGGCTCATGGTTGCACAACACAGTGAGCTGCTGCTGACTCTGTGGCTGCCATGAGTCTGTGATCATAATGATAAGCTATCTCTGTGATCAAAGTGCTGTGACCGCCTAATATACTGTTGAGGGTCTGTCTCTGACCCTGAGGGACCCATCAACAGCAGTAATTAAATGAGCGCTGGTGCCTCCACCGGCCAGCGCTCATTGTACCACATGACGGGATCATCCCGTCACCGGTCGTTAATGAACTGAACGATTGTGATGGTATAATCCCGTCATTGGTAGGGAAGTGGTGAAAAACGTATGCTGTACATGACTGATGAAAGGCTTTTCTCCTAAGACTCTCCCCAAAGTAGATACCCTTCATTATTTTACAGTTCGACATAGTAATGGATTCAGGCAGCTTGAAATGAGTCTGCAAATAGAAAAAGATGGACTGTTGGGTATTGGCTCCTGCCAAAAATGGCCCTAGTATGTGTATGTATACATGTGAGATAGGGAGTGGGACCTTAAAAGTTCCTTAAGGGCAGAGATTTATGAGAATGTACAATATGTAGAGCATGTCAGCGCTGTATAAATATCTGTATTAAATAAACAATGCAGGATTTGAAGGACGAAGGGATAAAGAAATTCACACTTGAAAGCTTTGTTTCTATATGGTATTTAAAAATGCTAATAACAGTTTGATAGATTTAAAAATATTAGAAAATGTCACATTTATGTGGTGCATCACAGATTAACTGGTGTACAGTCAAAAGCTGGAGAAGTGCACATTCCATAGCAGGCCACCCTTCTTCATAAATTCCCTAAATATATGCTATAGCATGTGCATATATGTTTTGCACATTGTGGCTGAATAATTAATCCTGTGAATATAAGACTTGCGTGTTTGTGCGGCCCCAATCTGAGATCATAGGTTCATATTAGACATGTGCGATTCGTTTTGTTACGAATCGAAATTCGTACGAATTTTCCTGAACTTCGTAAATTCAGAAGCATCCGAAATCCGAATTGCAGTTTCCGAATTATATCCGAAATACGAAATTCCGTTAACGAATTTCGGATCCGAATTTCTTTGAAACGGGAACTAATATTACCCCTGTAAATGAGGTTGAACAACATGACAAGATTTTTTTTTTTACCCGAAATACGGACCCGCTGCTGCTGAGAGTTGCATTACAATACAGGCAGGAAATACGAAATTCCGTTGACGGAATTCCGTTCCGTTACGAACATTCGTTATGATGAAGTTAAAAAGCAAAATACCTTTGTTAATATTGGAGTTGATGAGTTTGTTTTTTTATCCGAAATCCGAAATTCGGACCCGAAATCCGTTAACGGAATTCGTATTTCGTTTGGTTGACCAATCAGAGGTTTTCTCTTCTGCTGCTGAGAGTTGCATTACAATACAGGCAGGAAATAAGAAATTCCGTTAACGGATTTTCGTTCTGTTACGAACATTCGTTATATTGAAGTTAAAAAGCAAAATACCTTTGTTAATATATTGGAGTTGATGGTAATTTTTTTTATCCGAAATACGAAATTCAGGTCCGGAATTTCGTATTTCGGATAAAAAAAACAACTACCATCGGCATCGACTCCAATATTAACAGAGGTATTTTGCTTTTTAACTTCAATATAACGAATGTTCGTAACAGAACGAAAATCCGTTAACGGAATTTCTTATTTCCTGCCTGTATTGTAATGCAACTCTCAGCAGCAGAAGAGAAAACCTCTGATTGGTCAACCAATCGAAATACGAATTCCGTTCCGGATTTCGGATCAGAATTTCGGATTTCGGATAAAAAAAAACTCATTATGCGTGGGTCAAAGGTTGGTGGCAGGAAGTGCCTTATCCAGGGTTCCCATAATTTCTCAAATTTCGGCATTTGGTCCTCTAGAAATCTGAACTCCTCCTTTCCTAGGTACACAGCTGACCTGCTGGTGAAACGGACCGAACGTCACAACTACCCTAACTCCCCCACCCCCGACCGAACGTCACAACTCCCCTAACCCCCCCCCCCCCTCTCTACTTTACTCCCCCCATCTCCTTCTTTTTTCTCTATCACGCCTCCCCCTTGATCTTTTCCTCTCCTGGTCCACCTTGACCGCAAGGGTGAGATTCCCACCAACTTCATTCCCCCACTTTCTCCTACATGGATAGGCGATTGCTGAAAGTATACCATGTATGCTGAAATGTTATCTGTTGTATAGCAATGCCTATGTCTACATTCTTATATACGCATGATGTTCGTGTGAGTGTGTTGTTCACCTATTGCTTTATTGAAAAAAATAAAAAACGTTTTGAAAATAAAAAAAATTAAAAAAAACTCATCAACTCCAATATTAACAAAGGTATTTTGCTTTCTGACTTCATCATAACGAATGTTCGTAAAGTTACGAAAATGTGCTGAAACTAACGAAAATTCGTATTTCGTACGAATCCGAATTGAGTTTCGGACACGAATTACGAAATACGAAATAACGGATATTCCGAAACTGAACTAAATTTTTGACGGCGCACAAGTCTAGTTCATATCCATTAGTTAATCAGGCACAGTTGATTAATTGTTGGAGTCTCTCACCCAACCCAGTGTTTCTCTCAAGTCGGGTTTTCTATAACAAAAAATATTGTTTCCCTTTTAAACACTGAACTCAGTTTAAACTTTTTATGGTCTTTTGGTATGTTAGATGATCCTGTGTACCTGCACAATGAAGCTGAAAGGCGAGAGTATGTCCTCAGTGAAGATGGCATTATCTATCTTGGCACAGAAAGTCATGCTCAGCCCCAGCCTTGGCACTTTGGTCAGGTAGGTGTGTCAATGCAGCATACCATCATGCTCAGCCCCAGCCCTGGCACTTTGGTCAGGTATGTGTGTCAGTGCATCATGCCATCATGCTCAGCCCCAGCCCTGGCACTTTGGTCAGGTAGGTGTGTCAATGCAGCATGCCATCATGCTCAGCCCCAGCCCTGGCACTTTGGTCAGGTAGGTGTGTCAATGAAGCATGCCATCATGCTCAGCCCTGGCATTTTGGTCAGGTAGGTATGTCAATGCAGCGTGCCATCTGCTCCAGCCCTGACAGTTTGTTTAGGTAGGTGTGTCATTGCAGCATGCCACCTTTTTTACATGCAGGTTGGTGACCTTAATGTCCACCTAGAAAGATTCAGAAGAAAAAAAAAGATAGTTTCAAGTTCAAGTCTTATCAGGAGAGAACTGGACTTGGTCCTGAGTAGAGATACTTCATTATTTAAACATCAATCAGAGTGGGACTGCAGTCAGGGACACATGGTGGGCATTATATAGGTACCTGCTAATCCGTGCAGTTGGGTCAAGTCAAACATGGAGGGAAAATGCAAAGAAAAACTGTGAATGTTTTAACTGGTGGTGCCACCTTTCTCCCTTTGTCCAAGGCTCAAGCCCATAGGTGCCTCCTTGTAAATTCAGCTTTAGATGCTAAATGTATTTTTGGCTACTACCCTTTCTCTTGCACTGATGCTGAGCTGAATCTGGTAAATTTAATTTACAGTTTGAGGAGGACATACCTGAAATATGCATTTGGCTCCTGGACACAAACCCACGCTATCAGGAAACACCAGAAAAGCACTACATCAAGAGAAATGATCCTGTCTACATCTGCCAGATGATAGGCGACATGGTGAGAAACTTAAGAAGATTGGTTCCTAACTTTCATATTCATGCTAGTAAAATAGTTTTCATCACTATATGTTTATATATTGTGTGCAGATTGGCCAAAAGGATGATGAAGACAGAGTTGCCTTCATGTGTGGGAATGAAATACTGTCCTATAAATGGATAAGCAGTATCCCAGTGCTGCGCCAGTGGTTCCAAAAAGGGAGTCAGACAGTATATGGACAACACTGGGTGTTTGCAGCAGTGCTGTGTACAGGTATAACGAGTGTCTACCCTCTCTCTGCCACCCTCACTCTCTCTGATCTTCCACAGAACTTCTCTCTGTGTCTTCCTCAGTAGTGATATGTCCTACACTCCAATCCTTCTTTTGGTGTTCAATTTTATATATATAATTTTAACTGCTGATAAATACCAGGAGGAAGCCCTGATTAAGAGGGTATGTGTGTAAACCCCCAAAATGCATTGGCTATTTTTTTTACTGTCCCCCAACCCCATGTTGAATAGAGATTTATCTGGACAATTGTGTTTTGCAAACATTTACAGCTATTTTTTATCTGCTTCTTGTAGTAAAACCAAGAAAACTGACCCAGAAGTAGTATATAATGTACTTTTACTATACAAAAATGTTACATGCATAAACTACTTAGTTACATCTAAAAACAATACAAAATACAGACTGCTACAATACAGACATACACATGCTTACACTACACCTTTCCCTAACACATGCAATGGTTTCTATAGGAGGATACACAAAAGTCACTTAGCTTTGGTTGTTACAGGTATACACATTCCTTATTGAATGGGACTTTGTGTAGATTAATGTTCTCAGGAAAATGGCTCCTTGTCTTGACTTAGTGTTGTCCTTCTATTCCAGTAAAGCCCTCTGGTCACAGTTCCTCAGTGAAGTCCGGTCTGAAGGCCTCTACCTATCCATCTTTATCCTACTTGCTCCCATTCACTCACATAAGGAATCCATGATTGATCCAAAGAAACCAATCATATATTTCTCATGACAGTGATTGGATGGCAACTGAAGCTTGATTGAAGCTTATAAACAATGGACATAATTTTATGTTCGGCTCCATTCTGTCTCTGAGACCAGTCTTATTACATTATCATCTTCCTGAGTCAACAACGGCCCTGACGGTCCCAAATCACCACCTGAGCGTACAGCCAGATGGCCATTTTCTAGCATATCAAAGCGACCATTGATCTCAGGAAGACGACACTTATTATTCCAATCACTGACCCCCGCCATACCTACTGAAGACAAAAGGGAATCTTAAACATAAGGCATGACAGTTGGCTTTAGCATAGCAATGTGAACTATTTGAATTATATTGTTCCTAGGGAAGATACAGCCTTATTTAACCAGCTGTCTCTATATTTCACTCTATTGTTTCCACATATTTTATTATTAGTAAATATATACTGTATCTGTGTGTCTGAAAAATCATTTTACTTTTGTGCTCAAAGGTTTGCATACCCTTGAAGAATTAGTAATATACAGTATGTACCATTTTTAAAGAAACTCGACTATGAAGCTCATTTTTGTTGAAGTATTGTTGTATTGTGCTCCATGAAACAACCACACCGTCTTTTTCCAGAGCAGCCTGTATTTCTCCTGAGGTTCCTGTGGGTTTTTCTTTGTATACCGAACAATTCTTCTGGCAGTTGTGGTTGTAATCTTGGCTTGGTATCAAGAGATCGCTGAATTTTCCACTTCTTAATAAGTGATTGAACAGTACTGACTGGCATTTTCAAGGCTTTTTATATCTTTGTATATCCTTCTCCATGTTTATAAAGTCCCATTGCCTTGTTACGCAGGTCTTTTGACAGTTCTTTTCTGCTCCCTTGGCTCAGTATCTAGCCTGCTCAGTGCAGCCTCATGAGAGCTAATAAACTCATTGACTATTTATACACAGACAATAATTGCAATTTTAAAAGCCACAGATGTGGCAAATTAACCTTTAATTGTTCTTTTAACCTATGTGTGTCACCTTGTGTGTCTGTAACAAGGCCAAACATTCTAGGGTATGTAAACTTTTGATCAGGGCCATTTGGATTATTCCTGTTATCATTATGATTTAAAAAGAGGCCAAACAACTATGTGATAATAAATGGCTTCATATGATCACTATCCTTAAATTAAAGACAGTTTTTTGGCATGATCAGTCATATTTTCAATATCAATACCAAAATTTCACGATTTCTGCCATGATACGTAAACATACATCAAAAAAACAAGATACAACAGAAATGAGAATACAGCTTGTACACATCTTCTTGAATACTGTTATTTTCAAACTAGTCCTTAGGTACCTTTACAGGCTATGTCTTACAGATTCAAATGTGAATTTACACAGATGTTCAAAAGTCTGAAGTCTGGAAAATATGGCTGGTTAGTGGTCGTGGAGGATAGGTTTAATAAACACTAAATGGATGAATAAGGGAAGACACAAGAACAAAGGGAATGAGTCAGGAAACATAATTTGACCTGTCAAAAAGTGAAGGAGAATTAGTCATAGATCAGTGGCTGAAGAGAATATATTAAGCCAAATTATATACCTGTTTGGTATAGGCCATATGTTTAGATGGAAAGGAGGAAAGGATTAAGGGCACTAAGAGGAAAGGAAAAGAGAAAAAATACACCAATGTGGGAGACAGGTCCATCCAGAAAGATCAAACAAAATCCAGAGAGAGTCTGAAGTAGGAATGTATGGTCACCACTACAGTGTATAGATTGTACCAGTATTATTTACCTAACTTTGAACATTGAACATGAATCTCGCAATTTTCTGCAGTATTGCGCTGCCTGGGGATACCAACTCGGATTGTCACAAATTACAACTCAGCTCATAACACAGAAGAAAGTCTGCGGAAGGATGTGTATTACAATGAGAATGGGGCAAGGATTCACAGATCTAGGCTTGACAGCATATGGTAAGGAACTCTAGAAAAGTATGACAACATAAAAATGAATTCTCAATTCCTTCCCAACACATCATTTATTTAATTGATTTATATAGCGCCATCACATTAGTATTTTACAGAGAATATAACTCTATTTGCAGCTTAGGGCTTATTCTTGGTGTAAGACAACTAACCTACCATCATGTACAGTATATTGATTGTAGGATGATAATGGGTCACCCAGGTTGAACATGCAAATGCTCTGTTGCTTAAATGGGTATATATTCCCACAAACACACTCCAAAAGCTTGTGGAAAGCCTTCCCAGAAGAGTGGAGAATGTTTTAGTGGCAAAGGTAGGGGGGATCAAATCCATATTAATTCCCATTGTTTTGGACTGGGATGGCAAAAAGTTCAAATAGGTGTAATCGTCTGATGTCCACAAATTTCCATATAGTGGAGTTTCTGTGGTGGGATTTCTATAACAAGGTTCCCATGTGCATCTTCCTGCCATAGATATTAGTCACTGTAGGGTTTTTAAGATATCTTACTTTGCAGAGAATGCAGCACAAGAAATACAGCTGTTGGTAAAACCAAATGCCCCGGTCACAGACCTCCCCCTTGGAGTCCACAACAGGTGTAAAGCCAGTGGAGGAGTGGGACCTGCAGCAGTATTTGTTTGGTGGACTATTCTTTTAAGTATTAATAGATGCCGCAAATGCATCGGTTCAGTGATAAGCAAATTGGCTTACCAAAAGTAATTTTCACAGCATAATGTGCCAATCCATAGCAATCCCAATTTCCCTGCAGAATGGCAGAAGCAAATTTTGGTCCCTTTCCAGTTCACTTTCATATTGATAAGCCTGTTTAAAGCTAGCGTCATTATTAATTACTGTGCTAGGAAAATGTCCTTTGGCACCCAAGGCGAAGATGCTATCGTTCAACCTGAGCTGGATTGCACTTGTACATGTACATGTTTTGTTGCTGGGCTGGTGTAGGATGCAATAATGACAGTTGCTGCCTAGGACCACACTTTGGTCCAAGGGTGCTGAGGGAGGGGGCGAGAAGGTAAACCAGCGTGATTCACTCATAATGAGCATTGTAAAACAGCCAGATTTTCAATAACATTACGGGTATCATCTCAAAACTAAGGAAGCTTAAAACTCATCACAAGTGCAAATTTATTTCTCAAATTATCCCCTTTGTAAAGGAGTAAAATGAATTTCTGATACAAAGAATTTTGATACTACAAAAACCAATGGCAAAAATGGTAATAGTTTACTTATAAATGATAGATGTCCCTTATTTCTGCTTCAAACCTGACTCTGCTAAACTATTTCGTATATCTCACTTCATAATATTGTGTTGCAGGCACTTCCATGTATGGAATGAATGCTGGATGGAGAGAAAAGATCTCTTTAAGGGATTTGGTGGCTGGCAGGTTCTTGATGCCACTGCACAGCTGAAATACAACGGTAACCTGCCAACTATATTATGACCCTTACTGAATGTATCAGTGAAAGTGAATGATTATATCATACGTATATTATACAGTATATATACTGTCATATTTTTTACATATTTTTTTATACACAGTGTACTGTATATATATTTTATTAGATTTTTCTAGAAATGGGTGTAAAGTTCCTTCCTTTCAATTTCAGCCTGATTTCCCAACATTGTCTTTATAACTATTGGTAGTGAACATTATAAATTATAATTATCAGTTTGAAATCTTTCTTCAGTTTTTAAATTAAAGTCCAACTCTTGCCAAACTTATTTTACCTTTTCACATTTTTTATAGTATAGAAAGGTTAGAACCTCTATAAGCTTTTTATTGCAGTCTGTGTCCACATTTGGGAGAATTTCCTGTGTGAGAGGTGTCAGACAGAACAGGAAGACAGGGAAATGTCCCCACTTACTGACTATTTAATGGAGGCATCATACAGAGCAGGTAATTGGTAATCCCCCCCAAAGGGGCAATGATCAGGCTATAAAATCTTAAAGAGAAATATCAACAGAGACACAGTCATATGTTCCAAGACCTTCCCACTTTCTCCCAAATCGATACATTCTGGCTGCAGTTGGTCTTTATCTGCAGACTGGTTTTCTTTCCATTGAGTTTTTTTTATATGGCCCATCAACCATGTGACCATATTTCTCTTTCCTTTCATCTGATCAAATCACATCTGTTATCAAAGTAGAACTCCAGCCAAAACTTTTTTTAGTTTTTGGATAGAGTGAGGAAGGGTTAGAAAGTCTTCTAGTGTTTATTGCTGTCTTTGTCCCTGTAGGAGAGATTTCCCTTAATTTCCAATCCAAGAAGCACAAAATTAGGTGAGTGCCTGATTGTCCCAAAGTGGGGGGAAATGCCACCTTTGACTGTTGTCATTGCAATCTATATTATTTAGGCTGGAGGTAAACTTTAAACCTACATGATGGTAGGTGCCCCATATGAGAGGAGGTCAGGGTGGCCAAGAGGACATTATATTGATTTTAAAAATAATCAGAGAGGTGGTTAATGTAAATAAGGTTATAAGTATAGCTTTTAAGTAAAGATCTCCTTATCTAACGAAGGTGCTTTGATTCCAGGAGCCCTATATTGTGATGGTCCTGCCCCAGTGAGAGCCATCAGGGAAGGCTTTGTAGACTTAAATTATGATACGAAGCTCATCTATGCCAAAGTGGTCACAGATACCGTGACTTGGGTGCGAAACTCAGATGGATTTTTCAAGAAGGCTTTCAGCAGCACAAGACACGTCGGTGATGGAATGGTCACAAAGAGTGTGGCATGCAACCTTGAAGATGATCTCACCTATGAATACAAGCACCCAAAGGGTAATAAAGATCTAATTTTTATCAAGCCAGAGATAAATCAGACACAGGTTTATATTGTTGGAGCACATATGCTTGTTGGCACTTGATACATGTTACAGTGAATCTTTCACATTTGTGGCAAGATCACAAAATTAGATAGTGGGCTGAGACACTATAGATAGATTTGAATGTATAAACTCATACTAACATTTTCGAACAATTAGCAGTGTACCCCGTACACACAAAGTCAAACATGCGTTAGGTGCGTCTACGTGCGAAAAGCATCGCCTATGAGCAATTTTGGGTATTTTAGTTTTTTGTGATTTCACAGACACACACAATTTTAAGGCTTGAAATGTTTAGTATCTATTTGACATTTTTGGTATCTTTTTACTTGATGTGACCCCATCTTTTATATTTTACAAACAAATTGGGTATTATATTCTGTATCTGTGCTCTAAAATCCATTTTAGTGTATTTATTCCTAAAATATTGGCTTGATAAACATTTCCACATATATCATGTGACATAAAAGAGTTAAGTGCTCATTATGTCTAGGGGGCTCAAATAAAACAGATTTACTCATCTGATCCTCGGTCCCACCAGCTCCCTCTGAGCTGCTAGACCAGTCCCCGCAGCCACTTCTTCCTTGGGCTTCGGTGGTCTAAGGACTGCTGATGTCATCACCTGCATTAGACGTGAGGGAAATTCCATAGCTTGAGCGGAGGGCTGACCACCATAGGACTGAGAATCAGGTGAGTATATCTGCCAAAAAAATAACCAAAACAAGTAACAGGTAATACCCCTATCCTTATGCTATAGAAGAGTATTGGTCATTTTTATCCTGATTGCAGTCTTGTAAAGATGTTATTGTATGTCATACCTAACCATGATCCCAATGCTCATGTCATCCCAAACAGGTTGTCAGGAGGAATATGAAGCTGTTCAGAGAGCCAAACTGCTAATGCTGAAAACTGAGCAACCCAGTGAGGACAATCCTATGCTCCTGAGTCCCTTCCTAGTATCAATTATACCCCAGAGTGGTCAACTGTCTGGAAATTATATTAGTGTCAGTGTGACAGTGACCAATGTGAGTGAAGAGGAAACGGACCTGGAGCTGGTTATTGGTGCCCAGCCTGTACATGACTACGGCATAACTGGAGCTCAGTTCTGGAGTGAGAAGTTCTATTTCCATCTTACTTCAGGGGAAGGTAATTATAATTTTTTAGGAATAAAAACCATATAGTACGTTATAGATAACATGTAGAACAAAATGGACAATTAAAGGGGACCTTACCCCCAGGTGCCTGCTCACATTCTTACATTATCTTCACTGTACCACATGATTACAAAATGTGAATTGAAAATAGCTTCCTGGCCATGTTTCCGCCTTCCTCCTCCTATAAGACTGAGCACATATTTTGAATTCTTATTGTAAAATTTACCTTTAAGTCTAAACCTTAGAATCTCAAATTAAAACATTTTTAGAAACTCCAACTCCAGGTAAGATAAGCTTGGAGTTCCCTACCATCTGTGAATCTCAGCTAGGAGGAAGGATTAAGTAAATTAAACTTGTTTACCTTGAATAAAAGGTGCCTAAGAGGAGACATGATTGTTATCTACAAGTTAATCAATGGTGACTGTAAAGCTGAGGACAGCTTGTTTAATGTTAGGTCCTAGATGAGGACAAGGGGCCACAATTTAAGGTTGGAGGAAAGGAGGTTCAATCTATAAATGTGAAGAGGGTTCTTTACGGTCAGAACAGCAAAAATTTAGAACTCCCTTCCCTACTGCTGTGGGAGCACCTCTGAGTGCCGTAATGCCCAGGCACACTTTATTCAGAAATGTCATACTATTGCTAAGAACCCTAACTGATCTGTCTGTGCAATTGCAGAGAGAAGTGTCTCTGGACGGATTGATCCCTCGCTGTATGAGACGGTTCTGCTGGACAATAACCTGCTGAGAGTGACTGCTCTAGTAAAGGAACCAAAAGACCACACCAGCAGCTTTGCCTTGGCTGAACAAGATGTGACTATCTGCAAACCAAATCTAATGATACAGGTATTAAAGTACTATGCTGCTAACCACACCCTATACAATGTAATTGTAGAATCTTCCTTAGATTTTCTACCAAATATGTAGCACAGGGGTCTACCTGACTGGATTTGAATAGAGTGGATTTAGGTAGTCCCTTACATTATATAGTTGATGGTAATAAAGGCTTTTCACAAAAGTTTGCAATTTTTCTATAAGTAAATATGCCCATTCGGCCAAAAAAGGGACTGTGAGTTTTGGTACCAATATTGGACAAGAAGACCTGGCTCTTAATCGGCTCTCTGATTCATCCCATGAGTGATCAGTTGGGTTGAGGTCAAGGCTCTGTTCAGGCCGCTTAAGTTGTTTCATACCAAACCATGTCTTTATGCACAGACTGTGTTTACAAGGGCACAGTCATAGAGAAACTGAAAAGAGTCTTCCACAAATTGTTGCCAGCAGGTTGGAAGTGCACAATTGTCTAAAATGTTCTGGTATGCTGTAGCATTAAAAGTACACTTTGTTGGAAACACCTGAACTCAATTATTTGAAGGGGTATCCACATACTGTTGACCAGTTGTGATGGTCACGTGTCCAAAACCTTTTGACCAAACAGTGTATTGACAGTGTTGAAAATGTATCAATATATTTACATTGCATATTGTACTCTCAAGAACTGTCCACAGGTATTTTTCTATTTGAAATATTGGATATCCATTCGGTTGACAACTTTCCATGGTGACAACTGAACGATGTAACCCTAAGCTCACATTCATCACCAGCTCTGATTAGATCTGTCTTTACTGTGTGCAGATTCCAAAGGTTGCTGTGGAGTTTCAGCCAGTCACTGCAATGTTGACTTTAACCAATCCTCTCAAGGAGACCTTGAAGAAAATTGTGATAAGAGCAACAGGCAAAGGACTTCTATATAAGGAAAGGATATACAGGTACATTTTAAGTATAACAGTCCCTTTTATTATATAATATACATGTTTTTCTAACTCTTCTGCCTCTTGCTGGCTACCACATAATATTTGCCATTGGCAATCAGGAAAAGTGTGCAACTACAAACTGGTGCAGTGCTTAGGAATAACATAAACCGACTCTGCCAACTTACAAAATTAGAGTTGCTGGCAGTTATAAGGTGCAGACACCACATACCTGCAGGAGCCCTTATTCCCCTCTGCCACGCTTACCTGCTCCCTTTCCTACGTTCCTATTGGCCAATCACTATGATGGTCTGCCTCCTTCAATAAGAATTTGTATGGTTGGGAGGGTGGCGGCAAGCTCCTTCACTGCCAGAAAGTGCAAAAACATTGCTCATTCAGAATGGTTTAGTTGACAGTGGAAGTTTATATGTCATGAGAAAAGCATGTGGTCTGCCTGATACAGAATAAGTGTGAACAAATATAGAGATAAGTAAATATGGTTTTCAGATGTTCATTTGCTGCATGCTTAACCTACGGTATGTCAGATACAGCCAGACATCTAGCATTTGTAGAACTTCAAAAATGGCAGCTCACATAGTTCTCTCATGATAGGTGTACTTTAAATCACTTTAGAGTTTATTTGTATTAGAGAGCCCATTCACACCAATTGCGGTGCGTTCCAGAGCAGAAGCTGCTGGAACACAAAGCCATTGCACACTAAACTTCCCCCTTTTTGTTGGGGTGGGAAGGGGCGTTGCGGTGCATTGAAGTCCAGTGCGATCGGACGTATGGCAAAACATTGCCTGCGTTCCGGTCCAGTTCGAACGGAAAAAATATGCTGCATGCTCTTTTTTTGCGTTCGAACTGGACCGAAATACAGGCAATTGTTGTGCGTGCCAGCAGCTACTGCTCTGGAAAGCACCGCAATTGGTGTAAATGGGCCCTTAGGGATTCTAGTTCCAAAATAACTTGATGACCCAGGTTTGTATGCATGTCACATACATTTGAGGGGCTTCCAAACTTTCATGTTGTGTTTTGAATGTATTGTATACTATGGAGAGTATAACAGGTAAAGTGTGAACATCTCCAGGTAGATATGAACAACCAGAACTCCTAGGTAGGTGGGAACAGAGCCATCAACTATGGCAAAGGAAACTGCAAACAGCAAAAAAACAAAAACTTGTAAGAGTTTTAACAATTCCCTACTCAAATGTATATATTAAGCATATATGTTATGGATGGCATGGGGCCTACTGATTTTCCACTGCTTCTTTCAGATGTAATGATGTTCTTCCAGAGGGCGACTTGATCTACCCACTTACCTTCACTCCAACACAATCGGGAGACAGAAGACTGTGTGTGCAGATGCAGAGTGACAAGCTGGGGCTCATCACCAGCTTCCAGAATCTGGAGGTGTTACCCAGCAATGTTGAAGAATGTAAGTTAATTGGGGTACTGCGTGGAAGGCTTCTAAGATTGGCAAATTAACTTTGTGCCTCTTGAGGTATAGACAGAGAGACATAACCTTCCCCTTGTACAAAGCACTAGTAAGAACTTATCCTAGGCAGTTCACTTTTGCAGCAGCTCACAAGAAGGATGTTGTGGAACTTACAGGTAAAGGGCAGCTGAATTAATAAAGAGCTTGACCTACCTCTGGCATGAGAAAAGATTAATTGAACTGGATTTTTTTTGGCCTTGAAAAGAGGTGAATGAAGGGTATCTTAATCCTAAATGAAAAAAACTAAAATATTGCAGTTTACCACTAAAATATTGCAGTTAGATGTAGTGAATGCATGTTTTTCCTTTTTTTTTTGGGTGATTCTGCCAGTAGCATCCTTTCGATCCTAGAAGGACAACACTGCTGTATCAGGACAATGGAAATTGGACCTGATTACCGGGACCTTTCTATGTCCTCTTGCCCATAACACAGATGGGAATGGTCCTGTAGACCTCAGAACAATAAAACCAATAACAGTGCAGTGCAGGCAGAGAGCACAGAAAGTTATCACCTGACAAGTTTTCTGGCAGGATCAACAGGTATTTTTTGTACTTATCAAACAGATAAAATAAAACACTTTCAATGGTTTATTTATTAGACTAAAAGGGAACAAATAAGGCACATTTAATATCAGGGTTTACTTACACTTCAAGTGGGGATATGATCAATTTTTATAAATACATAAAACAGTAATTCAATATTAAATGTAATAAATACATAATAGTCTATAAAGTTAACTGGGTGCAAAGTTGTTCACTTTAGGGCCATTGCAAATGACAAATGGGTGCTATTTGTGGCTGAAGGAAAAGAGGTTATATCTCTGTATACAGAAAGGCTTCTTTACAGTAAAAGCTGTGAAAATATGAAATAGAATTCCACAGGAGCTAGTTGTAACCACCTCTGCAGATTGAATAATTGGAGGTGCTTCTAAATGCATAGGATATACCTGGCTGTTAATATCAACAAGTAATAACACTGAAGATTGTTGATCCAGGAAGTATCTTATTGCCTTAGGGGATCGGGAAGGAAGTTTTTCCCTGTTGGAGAACATTGGACGATGCTTTATAAGGGTTCTCTGCCTTCCCTTAGACCAACTGTGGGTCTAGGGTACTTTAATTAGGATGTGAAGTTTTTAATTAATGGATGTGAGGTTTTTAATTAATTAATTTATTCTTGTCTTTTGGTTGAACTGGATGTACTTAAGTCTTTTTAATGCTGACTAACTATGTTACTATGATTAATCACGTCTATCAGAAGGAGTGTTCTTTTTTCCCCAAAAAAGAAAGGATATACAACAAGGGTTTTAAAACAAAATATCAGAGAATATCTGAGAATAGATTGTGAAAATATGGGCTTGTATAGATAATGCATAATTACTAGTACAAGGAAATCTATTGAACTGTTTTGTATAGCTCAAGTCATTTCAAAATGAGCCTAAAGTCACCTAAAGTTGTATGTGAATCCCAACTTTTCTTGTAGAACCTGACAATGGCCATTCCCTTTCATGACTTTCAAGCCACCCTATTGCTTACTCTAGTGATGGGAAGACTCACTAATTAATAACGAGACCTGAGAGGAATGATCAAGCACAACCTGGATCGAGATTTCTAAATAACTTCAGCTGCCCATTTCCCGGGATCTACTAATCATTTTCCTAAACCTCTGTTTATGCATTATGTCCTTATATGCTCATTCCGAATAGCCCAGATTTGTGACAGATTGCTTTTTTAAATTTGAGAAAACAAAGTATAAATTAGGCTGAGCACTTTTAGATTGTAACCTAAAATGTATGCACATATGTACATAAGTATAATTATAAAATTGAAATTGCACCACTATAAAGATAACTCAGCAAATGCTTTTATTATTGACAGGGTCCGTCCATCACTGGGAGGTATTCAAAAAATTCGCAGAAAGCTCTAATTCTGCAGAAGACGCAGAGTCCGGCACTCCCATCAGCCTCAGCATTCACACAGAAGGTGTGGCTTATTATGGACACGACATCCCTTTTTCACTGGAAGTCTCCAATAAAAGCGAAGCACAGAAATCCCTTTATGTTTATCTTACTGCAGAATATGTTGATGAGGATGGAAATGGTAGCATACATTTCTGGCAAGAAAGCTTTGATGTGTCTCTCCAGGCAAAAAAAGGTAATTAAACAAAAACCTGCATGACATTGTCATAAGCTATACCTGACTATTGGTACAGTATGAAAATATCATTGTGAAACCTGTCAAAGTAGTTAAAAAAGAACTCAAGGAAAATCAAAAATGTACCTTTGCAATGGGGCTACCCCTGCACTGCAAGGGTTAAGTGCATGTTTTGTCTAAGGGGCTCAAATAAGATAGATGTACTTGCCTAATCCTCTCTCCCCTTCTGCTCCTGATTTTGGAATGTCTCTTGATGTCCTCACATCTAATGCAGGCCAATGGTCCTTATTTAGATGTGATGACATCAGCAGTCCTTAGATTTCTGGAGCCAGGGGAGAAGGGGCTGTGGGGATTGGTCTAGCAGCCTGGAGGGAGCCCGCTGGACCAAGGATCAGGTGAGTAGCTTTATTTGAGCCCCCTAGACAAAACAAGCACCTAACCCTTGCAGTGTATGGTAGCTCCATTGCAAGGGTACGTTTTTGATTTGTCTGGAGTTTTTCTTTAAAGCAGAACTTTTTTTTTTAGATTTGGTTAGAGGGTTTTAGTTAGAGGTGCACCGAAATGGAAATTTTAAAACAGAAACGAAACCAAAGTAAAAACAAAATTGTAGGCTGAGCCAGCGGTGCAGGGAGGAGAGCTCAGCCTCCTGTGACAGTGCGGGCTGTCTCCGCCCACACATTGCTCTGCCGGACTGTGACAGGAGGGTGAGCGGTGTATGAGGAGAGACGACGGCCAGTCACAGCGCTCTCCTCCCGCAGCGCTCGGCCGGCTGTCACAGTTTCTCTCCTCCCTGCTGGGACACAAAGCAGCGCCCAGCGGGGAGGAGAGAAAGCAGGGATGCGCTGATGTATCGGCAGGAAAATGGCACTTTCTGAGGAGAGGGAAATCCCTGTAGGTCAGCAGGGTAACTAGAACTAGTGTCCACATTGGAAGATTTCCCATTTAGTCCTGTTCTGCTGACAACCTAAAATTTGGGATTTTCTTCACTTTCTGTGATAATAGTCACCAGGACAAATCGAGAAGGCGGATCTCCCTAATAAGGACACAGACAACAATATAAACCTGTTCTAGGGTTCTAATCTCTCTCTCTACTCTACCCAAAACGATAAAAAAAAGGTGAGCACCACAGTAATTGTTGTTGAGTTTAGAATTGTAAATTTATTAGTCAGAGTAACACAAGATGTTCCAGCAATGCGTTATGGGGGTTGCTTAAGTCCCTCTTTAGCAGGGCTTTAAAACCTGCATAAGACTAGGAAGCATGGCTTTTAAAAAAGGGGTTCATGGATATATTATTCTGTGTGATATAGAAATGCTGCAGCAGTCAAACAGTGTGATAACATGGATGTCTGTTTACTGCAAGGACTGATAAATGAAAGCTAACCTCAACCATATGCTAAACCTTGGCTAATTTGACACCCCGTTCCCCTGCCCCTCATTCTGAAAGCCTCTTACAGACATAAGGCAGTGCTCACAAGATCTTTGGATGGTCTTGGAGCAGCCTTAATTGTTCAATACATTGGCAATTTTTTCTTTCTACTTAGTAGTGCTACACAACTGCTGTGCTTCACTGCTCTTTATTGTCACTGCAATCAGAACTAAGCCCTTAACAGTCATTAAGCAAGGAGGCAAATCACATTCCCCAATATACAGATATCCAATAGAAGTGATTTAAAGTACACCTATCGTGAGAGAACTATTTGAGCTGCCATTTTTGAAGTTCTGCAAATGCTAGATGTCTTCTGTCTAAACTCAGGAGTTAAATCTTAAAAATGCATTTCAAGTACCTTAACTATTAATAAAAATGTATATTATTTGTGTATCACTTGGCTGTAGATCCTCAAATCATTTCTGAATTGGTGCTGACACTGTCATTCCTTCTGGAGGGTGGCTACTTTTGTTCCCCATGGTCCCTGTGTGTGTGTTGTAAAGTGGTCACCGCTCCAAGCTTACTCCTGTGATGGGCTAAAATCTTATGTTTAGTTTACTAATTTGCATTGAAGGTATAGTCTATCACAGGAGAGAGCTAGTCTAACAGACAACCTTATTTATCTTCAAAGAATTTCTTTACAGCTGGCAACCAATTATGATCATGCTCTGAATATAAATATATATACAGTTGGAATTGTCTTTGCCTGCCAACAATTTAACATGCTACATTTCATTGATTTGTGAATTGAACACAGTTATAGGCTAGGTAGCAGCTCTTCTTGATTTAACGATTATTTTCTTCCTTCTGATCCAACCACATTGAGTATGTATATTATTTTCTTCCATCAGGCCATCAAATTCAAACTCAGATTCCTCTACAACAGTATGCAGTTTCCCCAGTGGAAAGCAGCGTGGTGCGACTTACTGGTCTTGTAAAAGATATTACCAGCACATATTGTTTAAGCAGGAAGGTGATTCTGCATAAACCCCAGATTGTGATCAAGGTAACCATCAGCAATAAAATTGAACCTCTACCCACTATATATCATGCAGCTCTGCATGCTGATATGAAATAATCTTACATTCAGTAATTAAACATTTTATACTTACAATTACTATTTTCCCACTTCCTGGTCGGGTGAGGCACTGGTGATGTAATCCTGGCCTCACTGATACATCATGGGAAGGCTACATCACCGTTGCCTTCCTTGGAACTCTCATCTATAACCTGCAAAATCTCGTGAGATCTCGCGGTAAAGTCATTTTTCCCTCTCAGATGATGTGCGCTGTCACATGTGCCAGAAGGCAGATCCAGAGTTCCAGGAAGTAAAGGGAAATTGATTCATCTGACTTCAGTGAAAATGGCCACTATGAGAAGATTGGGGGGAAAAAAATAATAAAACTCCTGCAATTGTCTATAAGTATCTGTTTGTAGATTGTTTGGAACTTCAGACTATTATTTGGATGGATCTGGCAAAGTTTTATTGGGACAGCTTGGGAAGATCCCTGATGACCACATGGGAAATGAGGAAAGCCACATCAGAGGGGACAATAAAGCATTAAATGCACTTTTTTTATGAGTGAGGGCCCATTCACACCACATCCAGATCATCTCCAGACCATATCAGACTGTTTCTGGACCCAAAATGCATCCTAATGTATCCCTATGCTATTTCTGGCCTCTGTTCACATCAGCGCAGTCTGTTCCATACCAGACCAGAAAAATACTGCATGTCTCATTTTCTCTGGTCTGGAATGCACTGGAACATATGAAAAGGCACCAAAAACGCATACAAATGCACTGGGACGCACCTAAAAGCCCCCCAAAAAAATCTCCGTAACGCAGCTAAATCGTGGTAAAATTGCTGCAAAACACAATGCACTGCGTTCCAGATCTGGTCCGGAAGATGGTGTGAACCTGCCCTAAGAGGAACGTTCCGCTATCTGGAACCCTGCTGGGGAAATTCTCTTCACCTTCTGTGTGACCACCACAGGGATATCAACCCAGGAAAATTATTTTGAAGGTGATAATGGTGGACATGTTTTTTTTCAAATTGTTCATGTTAAAAAAGCTTTGACCTTTTTTTAACTTAATTATAATGTAATACATAGAAACAAATAAACACATTTGTATTGCTTTAAATTGAGGGCTGGTGCAGACTTGGGCAATCCCGGGACGTGTGTCCCGGGACTGCGTGAATGTGAGTACTTAACCCTTGCAGTGTGGGGGTGGCCCCACTCAAGGGTAAGTTCTTTCCTTGCCCGGAGATGGGCTTTTAGTTAGGCTAGCTGCTCTCATGCCCCAAAGCATGCCCAAAAGCAAAGCACCGCAAAAGAAAAGATACCTTCCTTTGTCCATCATTTTTCATGGTACCGAAGGCTTAAAAGAGCATTTAAACCTTGCAGTGTGGGAGAGCCCCACTTCAAGGGAGGATATTTCTTTTCCCCAGAGTTCAGCTTTAAAGCCTAAGTCCAGTCAAAGTCTTGTCTTCTATGTATCTGATGAGAACCCCAGAGTCTCTTTGACGAGCAGCCTCTCCAAAAGCTGTGGATATTTACAAGAAAGACTACTCCTGGAGGATTGTGTGATGGTAATCATTAGCGCCAAGAGTTAAATCAAATTTTTTTTCTGCTTTATATATTCCTATTGGGGAAATTTCCCCTCACTTCATATCGGAACAGACATTTTTTGTATCTCTCTCTACTGGAGACAAAAGACTTATTTTCAGAAGGAGGAAGGTTTAGACCTTCTAATCTATGTTTGTATTGCTGCCCGTGTTTTTCTGCCCTGGTGAGAACTGCACCCCCTATTTATTATATGGGAGAGTCACAGGAACAAGGATTAAGGCAAAATCTCCCAATGGAGTAACACCAGATTGGGATAGAGCAGAGAAGGTTAAAGCCTCTTTTAGATTTGTATTGCTCTTTGTTTGTTATATACATTTTTATCACTTTTACAGATGCCTGAGGAAGCACCTCAATACAAGCCCATAACAGCAGTAATCACAATCACAAATCCCCTTGAGGAGGAACTAGAGAACTGCACTGTGACAGTATCTGGAGAAGGCCTTATACACAAAGAAAGATCCTACAAGTGAGTATTCGTGGAGTATTCTACATATAGAAAAAAATCAAAGGCACTTTCAAAAAGCATACTACAAGACAATCTGTCTCATTGTGTAATAATATTGCATTCAGGCAGATGATGATTTGGGCCAACACAACTCGAAACTGAATGGAGGTCAGTGGTTTGAGCAACCCATCAGTTTTCATGGCTCTCTTAGACTCTAGTGATAAGATTCTCTACAGTTCAATTCCCCAGCTATGTGATTTGCATTATTACAACTTCATTAGGGGACAGTAGCACCATCATTTGCCTTTGCAATGGCCATAAAAGTTGAAACATAACAGAACGGTACTGTAGGTTGGCATCTGGACCAGTGCGGTCAAATAGGGTGCAAGAGAATTCTTAGACCTGTGTAAGCTCTAAGTTGCAACTGGGAGCTTACACAGAACTTAATTTTCCTACTGCAAGATGCTGAATCATATACAAGGGAGGATGATTATGTTCTACTGGGCAACGTGGGGAAGGTAAGGTGGAACGAGACCCACCAATTTAATGGTCTCCCAAACCAGTTACTCGTAAGGCATGCCAACTGTCAAGATTGCCATTGTGCTTGACCCTTGAGCCCTCAAATGGCTGGTGTCATAGCTGATCATATGCGCAGCACCATGGCAACTGTAAGCCAAATAGGGGCTATGTTGGTGCCTTCCTAGGGTGTAAAAGATAAGAGGTTGGAGTTCCCTTCAGGGGCAAAGCAAGGTTCACTTTAATGCGTGATACCTTATGTGACAGAATCACAGCTGTCGTATGTTGAAACTAAATATACAGGCTCATTTAATAAAAGACTATAAAATGCTGATTGAAATATGCATTTCCTGCAGAAACCAGTATCATAATTAATCTTGCTCGGTTATGACCCCCAACACCAACAGCTGACACCAAGATCATGCTTAAGAAATAATTCTGGTTGATATGCCAATATTTGTTACTTTATTAATAACATGAAAGTAAAGGTGAGTTAAAGTAGAACTAAAACCAGAACTTTTTGTTTGCCATTTGTGTCCCATTGGGGATATTTGTGATAGTCGCAACAGGAATGAGAAAAATCCCTCCAACTAGAGGGTAATCCCTGGTGGTCACCAGGGTCGCTAGAACTAGGGTCCCCATTGGAACATTTTCCATCAATTTCTGTTCTGATGACAACTCCAAATTTCTTTCACTTTCAGTGCAACTCTCCCAGTCTGTTATTACAGGAGACTAATATCAAGACTCAACCACTAATGTTAGCTATAATACTGTAAATACATTTCTTAATGACTAATGGATAAAATGTTTAAATGTATGACCAGAATTCAGATTAAACACAGCACACATTGAGTTAAATCTTTCATCTTCATTGCAGATGTGATAACATTGATCCAGGAAGTGAACGAAGTTGCAGTACCATCTTTTCTCCAACTCATACAGGTCTGCTGAAATTTCGCACGAAATTCAGCTGCAGGCAGTTCAAAGAAGTCACAGGCTGCCACTGTGTGGATGTCCAGCCGTACAGAAAATTCTTCACCAAGAGAACGGGAAAAGCAATTTAGTCAGAAGACAAGCAAGCCCCACAGAAACCTCTTTTGGACCTCTACCAGGTTTTCACTACTGGCGAAGCCTTTATTGGGGAGATTTTTCTTTCGCTTCCTGCCCTAGTGGCATCAGTCTTTGAGGTGGGAAGTGAGGAAAATCGTTGGAAATATGGAAATAACACAAATCTGAATCATTCTAAACCTTCTACTACTTTACTAGTATTGTTTTGTCTGTTTCTCTGCTGGAAAGATTTCACTTCACCTCCTGTCCGTAGTGGCAATAGTCACCAAGACCTGAACTGAAGAGAACTCTCTCCAGTGGGGATAGCAATAAAAATGCTGACAAATTCAAATTCACCCCTGATTCAAGAGATTTAAATAGATAATTGGATACATGTTTTTTCTTAACTTGGTTCAGTACTTTAAAGCCAACTCCTGCCAAAACTTTATTTTTTTACATTTGGATAGACTTGGGAAGATAATTCATCCTTTACGACATTCACACTTCAATTACTGCAGGTGATGTAAATTATAGGGGATGTGTTTTTAATACAGTTTTTGCAATCTCTCACATCATGGTGCTACTAAAAAACCTGTGGTTACTTGGAAGAGTATAGTATAATTTTAGCGAGAAAATATTTAGATTTTTTTTTATTGCATGGTTTACCTTAAAGTATTTTTGACATGACTATTAGATTTTATATAAATGCTTTTTTAGCTTGTTATTGTATTAATAATAGAGCTTTACAGACTATTCACTAGCAGATTGGCTACTACAATGACTAATGTCTAACAATTAATGAGATAAGATATGGGTCACAGAGGCAGTGCATTGTTGTCCAACTCATAGAATGGAAGATGTAGCAAAAGTAATGAGATGTGATTAGTGGGGGCTTGGTGCAAACCCAGTTAATTCAAGTCTTCATAAAACAGTCCCTTACTCCCATCAGCCCAGTTAGTTACGGCCTGGGCATTCTCCACTCCACAGCTAAATATTAAGGGTCAGAGAATGCACATTGCAACTGATTGGGCCCGGAAGGGGGGGGGGGGGGCGGTTTTGAGGGGGCTTAGATGCACTTTAAAGTTTATATGACCCCCATACATCACTAGTGATGATAAAATATAGCTGCTCTAATGTACATATATACAGTACTTGGAAATTATATATAGACATTGTTTTCCAAATGTTAACACCTCTTGGTGACGTTTACATTTATAAATCTAAGAAAAAACGTTTCTAAGACTAATAACTAAAACTTAGTAGCAGACAGCTATAGGTAAATGCAGTTGGCTTCAACATTCCTCTAGAGCACTACAGGAGCCACAAAACACCAGTGGTGCTCTTTTAGGTCTTGTAGACACCTGTCAGGTTTTTCAGGTGGATCTGATCGGAAGCCTAGTGTTAAGGTCCCCACACACCTTACAATAATCGTACGATAATCGCGGGAAATCCCGCGATCGTACGATTATCGTAAGGTGTGTGGAAGCCGTGCGACCTCTACTACTGTAAGGTCGCACGACTTTAAACTTACGGACATGTTCGAAAACCCGCCGAGCATCGTACGATGTTCGGCGGGTTTGTGGCATGTCCGTACGATAACAGCCGTACGAGCCGGTGTGCGCAAGCGCACACTGCCCGTTCGGCATTGCGGTCATCGGAAGCCCGCCCCTCAGGGGGCGTGGCTTGCGATCATCGCAAGTACGATCTGCCTATGCAAGATAGGCAGATCATACGTTTTTTTAAGTACCTTACAACCATCGCAAGACAAAAGTCTTGCGATGGTTGTAAGGTGTGTGCCCAGCCTACGTTTGTGGGCAGCCGGATCTAAATGGACATGCCTCCTATAACATCTGGTTAACCCCGATTCCATTCAGGTACAGGAGGCCAAATGGAGCAGAGTTCCACTTTGGTGGACATGACTGTGGCAGATCGGAGGCGATCTGATGTAAATGGACACATGTCTGTTTACATCCGACTTCCCATAGACCAACATGGGTTCGGTAATATCACTTTTTTTTCCTCCATTGCAAGATGGAAGAGAAAACTGGACGATCAGCAGGGGATCTTGCACGGATCCCCTGCTGATTGGAACTGAAGGCACCCATGTAAAAGGGGCTTTACAACGCTTTTTGCCAGCTTCCAGCAGCTTTGTTGAATGTTTTAAAGCACCCTTAAGATCCAGTCTGAGGAGGTTAAATACAAGTCTTAATGGGAGTGCTGTCTGTCATGTTAAACAAGTTGCTAGCAAGCTTCAATAAGCTTTAGCTTGTTAAAAGTCTTCTAGCAACTTGATCAAAGAGACAAAAAAAATCCTCAGTGTATGGTCAGCTTTAGCAGCATTTATTTACCTTCCCTGCACTCCCCCACTGCCCGAAAGTCCTGTATACATTTTTACATTATGTGCTTTCATGTGTGATAGGAGGTGGGACATACAAGCCTGATCATTGTCCACTCAGGCCCGAGTACCACATTGCGGGGTGACAGAGGAAGTGTCTTGTTTTCCCCATAGCTGAGATACTAGTGGAGTAGCAATTGGAAGGTAAGTTCAAGCCATTAGCCTTTTGAAACATTAAAAGAGAACTATGGGGTTAGGGCTCTTCCCCATAGTTCTCCTAAGGGTAACGGGAGGACACAAACTAGCGTCCTCCCGTCACACAAAGCTCAGTATACCGCAAGCTATAGCTCGCGGTACACTGAGACGCGCAGCTGAAACGGATCCCAACAATTAAGTCTGGATCCGCCCAGCTGCGTGAGTGACAGCTGGTTCTGTCTGTCTATCTAGAGGCAGAGCCAGCTGTACCCGCCCCGTCCCCCGTCCGTTCCGCCAGTCAGAGCTGGAGGATTGGAGCAGGGAGGGGGGAATCCAGTCCCTCCCCTGTCACGGCTCTCTGCAGTGACAGGATCGAGAAGTGAGCGAGCGCCGGTATGTGTTCGCTCACTTCCCGATCTATAGAGCCGACCTGTGACAGTCTCATTGTCACAGGTCGGCTAGAACTATGAGGATGAGTGAAAATCACTCACCTCATAGTTCTCCTTTAAGGGCTCGTTCACACCATAGTGTTGTGCTCAAACCTACAGGGTCCATGGGTTTAGCGCTCACTAATGTACTGCACCACATGCTAGGTGTGCTGGTGCATTGTCATTTGTTTGATTTGCACATCAACACAGCTCCAGGCAGGTGTGCGTTGCAGCAATATCATGGATTGCGATAAAAAAAAAAAGTGCATGCATCAAATGAATGACAGCACACCGAACATGTGGTGCAGTGTGCTTAACGCATGGGTACTGTGCCTTTAACACAATGCTATAGTGTGAACCGGTTAAACTTAAAAGCTCTACTAAAAGTAGGAAGTGAACCATATGGCCCATTACTTACAATCTGTAGATAGCATTCCTTTGTGCACCCCCCTGATCTGGGATGAATGTTGCTACTAGGGGCTCCACTTCTCTGCCTTTGTGACATAATGTGCATCCACTATCTCATTACCCTGTAATAGGAAAGGTAGTAGAGTGCTGTGATTGGCTATTAGATTACAGCAGGCAGCTTGCAGTTCTTCTTTCGCCTTTGAGAAAAGGTGCTACAAACCAGGAATAGCACTGCACAGTCACCTGTGTTTTTTATGATACTGTGCCTCAAAATCAATCAACGTAATTAAGCTTCCTTTGTTTCATAAAAATAAAGCTTTGAACTAAACTGAATCATTCTTTGGCTTCCGCTACAGCTTTTGATGTCGAAGATACTTTGCATTTCCTCTCCTATGAGCAAACCGCATCCTACAGATGTTCTTTAGGGTGGAGGCCTTTAAAAGCCTGAATGATTAACTTTGGTGGATGGCAAATTAGGTAATTAGATGAGTAATGGGAGAGTTTACAGAATAAATGGTGGCAGTGGTGAGATGAAAATAAAAAAGTCAAAAGCTTAAAAAATAAATATATTTTTATTTGATATAACATAAACCAATGTTAGCTGCTGCATAGATGCATTGCAAGCCCAATAAACATATTTGATATAGTTGTCCAACATGGCTGCCATATCTTACAACGTTGCAGCCTAAAGAATGCAGACTGCACTTTAATCAAGATCCTAACCAATGCCCAGATCTATTTATGAACAATCTGCAAAGCCAAAACTTTTGTCCTGTGCAAATAGGAGGTAAAAATGAATGTTTTATCTTTCCAGATGAAATGTTCTCAGGAAAATACCACAATATGGCCTCTAGATGGAGCTGAAGCACAGGAAAGTGTTTCTTTCCTCTGTTCCTTAGCTCCATCTAGTGGCCAGAATATCGTATTACATTACATTTGACCTGAAAAGAAAATATAAGAATGTTTGTTTTTGCCTCTATTCACACAGAGTAAATGTCCATGCAGATTTGCAGGGCGAATGGCTCTGCAAATTGTTTATAAACAGAATCCATTGATAAGTCTTTGAACATTGGCCACAGCTTAAACATATGCAGTCCTGAATACATAAACCTGCATGGATACAAATAAATAGGATGTCATTGCTGTCCTGGAAGTCAAGCCGATCCCCTTGCTTTAATGCTTTCTGAGTCAATGACCTGGAACAATTATGCAGATTATCGAAACTCAATTGAAATTTCATATAAGCTTCAACATGCAGGGGCGTCCCGAGGGCGGGTGTCGTCCGGAGCGGTTACTGGGTGACACCCCGACGTGATGTTACCACGCGTGTGCGTGATGACGTCATTGCACTTGCGTGACGGTCTTATTGATACCTGCCTGCTGCCATCTTGGTGATGGATGCCGGCAGAGAGAGGGGGGGACGTTCACCTGGAGAGATGAGGTATGCCGCCGGGTCCCCTCCTCCCTGCGAAACGGTCGGGCTCTCGGTCCATGACCGAGTGCCCAAATTTTCAGAGGGGGCGACACCAAAAATGACAGTCATTTTGGTGTCACCCCTCCAATGGTGTCACCCGGTTGCGGGCCGCACCCTCTTAGTGACGCCACTGTTAACATGTTACTGTAATTGAAAAAAGTAATTTTCAATCCTATTAAGGGCCTGTTCAATGACAGGCACAATGCTGATCCAGATGCATCGCAGTGCTTACCTTTTTTTTTTTTTTAGAACTTTATTGAACTGTGACATTTCATGAAGTTCAATTAGCACAGGGCAGTGCAATGCAGTTGTGCTTGCCGGTGGATGCATGCTGTACTTGGTGGTGTGAACTGTGTCCACTGAAACAAAGGCAAATTGCCTTGCTGTGCATTGGAGCTGCGCTGGAAAAGTGGCCTGTGCAGCTTCAACATTTCTAGTGTAAATGGTCCCTTACTTTGCAGCTTTTACTCATTTTTGTCTAGAAAGAAGAATAAAGAAGAAATATTTCACCCGCTCCTTGATCCCACCTGGCTGCTAGACCAGTCCATGCAGCCTCTTCTGCCCTGGGCTCCAGTGGTCTGAAGTCCTGTGAGTCATTATGTCTAATTCAATTAGTTATGAGTACACCAAGTGACATAACACAACCAGAGCCCAAGTTAAAAGAGGTGAGCGGTCTCTGTCCTAGATTTGATGTTCGGGTAAGTATTTCTTCTTAAATGGGTCCCCTAGACAAAAATGAGCAGGTACCCTTGCAGTGCATGGGGTAGCCCCACTGCAAGGGTTAACATTTAAAATTCCTGGAGATCTGCTTTAATGAAGCCTTAGAGCCAAATTGAAGTTTATCTTTTAGTTTAGAATTGCATAGGAAAGCATTGCCCTCTAGGTCTTTAATTTTGTGCCCAATTCAGCTCCAGTGGCAGTACAAAGTTCATAGCTAAAGCAGAACGATGCAGAGAGGACCACTAAGCCCTGTGTAAGAGGAGTCGTCTCCCACCCACCAACTGCCCAATTGATACCAATGTTGGGGGGGGTGTTGGTAGGTCTAACCCCAACATTGGTATCAATTGGCGATGGGTGGATCAGAACTACCTCTGCACAGAAGTTAGGTCTACCAAACCTTGAGCTTTGCCGATTGCAGGGGCACTGGTCTGACTCATTGAGGGGCATGTCAGACGGCTGCAGGGAGACCACTAATCAGTGGTCCTCTGCAGTATGCTCCCATTTCTAAGAACCTTGTGCTGCCACTGGGGCTGAACTGGACACAAAATAAAAGCAAGGCATATGCACAACAATGTTTTCCTGCAAATTTTTCTTAAATATACACACAAAAAAATATGAAACTTCCATTGGGCCATTATTACCCACTAAGCTCTGCCCACCACTAGATTTGAAGTATCTATATATACAGTTGATCCACCCAAAACTTCTGCATATTTTCTGCTGCTGTGTTCCCAGTACTGTACAAGCAAAGCAAAATTCCAACCCGGAAGAGACTCTTTCACAAAGGCAGCATAAATGAACGAGGAGGAAGTCAGGTACAGAGATTACACATCAATTCAAGCTGCTGGCACCTACCCAAAACCACAAAATGGGTTTTGGGTGGGCTAACCTTAGTCAATAAAAGGAAAACATGTCTGCTGTACAGAAGAGTCGTTTATGTGCCCTGGGAAAGATTTTTGAATATCGGACTCTTGGCATCCACTGATTTGGAGTAAGAAGACGTTCTTCCATCAGAGAGCATTCTGGGTTAGGTTTTTAACTTTGTTCATGTTGTGGTCAATGGCATTGTTGAGAAACGGCACCCAACTGGTTTCACTGTCGGGACATACATGGCTTGACCTGAAAACAAACAATAGATAAAAAACATGAATTAATAGATGCAAACTTGGAATTTCAATCATTTTGTTTGCTGAATTATTATGAAAAGAAATTTACAAACTACATAGATTTGGTTCCTGCCCCTGAGAAACTTCCAATCCCATCCTGCAGGTCAAACAACCAAATATATAGGGCTACAAAACCAGTAGGGTTAAACAATTTGCATGACTTGAGACCCTGGGACAAAATTAAAGCACAAAGTAAACTCAAGCAGCCACTGGGAGAACATAGGGACTTATAGTGGCCCTGCACTGCAAGGCCATAGCAGTGATAGCTATTAAGCCACTCTCTTCCCAACGTTTCATCAGTAGAAGCTAACAGATGATTTCCAGGAAAGCTGATACATACATGGGAACTGTTTTCCCTGCCAAAGAACTTTAACACTGTACCGCCAGTTTTGGGATCTAGGCATTCCTGTCAGATCCTCAAGCTTGGTTACCTCCCTGCCCACACACTGTGAATGAATAATAAAGGAGTAGCACCAGACAGATGAAGTCATCTCTATGTTGTCTCCTTTCGTCAGCATTTTCTGTATCAGCATATGTGCTTGCAGCAGACCTGTACTAGCACGAAGCACAAACCTGTCCAATCAGAGTCTGCCACATAGCGTTTGATAACAAGACATACAGATGCTTACACTAGCTGCATTTCAAAATACAATACATAACAATTATTCAATCAATACACGGCTGCATTAATTGGCTCTTTCTAGGTCTGTCTAGACAGTGGTTCTCAACCTGTGTAACCTCAGGACCGACATTTGTCCTTGGTTTTAAGTCGTGACCCAAGTGACACTGCAATGGAATGCACGGCATTGTGGTACCGCCTGTTCCAATGCGGGCGATCGAACTGTGGGTGGGAGGTGCATTTGTGGTGCCATTCAAATTAATGGCAATGTAACGCAGCTCCCACACCAGAATGCACGGTTGGAGCAATTGCGTGGTACCGTGCGATTACCGCACTGCAGTAGTGTGAACACTGACAGTCACGCACAACCACAGACATACACACACCAAAAACAATTTTAATAGGTTTTCTTTTTTTTTTAAGATCAACCCAGTCTCCCTATATTACAAGACCTGGAGTGGATCCTCAGCCTGAGGTCCGGTGTGGGTTGCTGTGCTGTGACGAAGCTCCATCCATATGTGCATTGCTTGTACTGCCCCCTTACGTGTCCTGTAGAGGTGTGACGTCACTCCGGTCGGGGCACCTCTACAGGACACATGAGGGAGCTGTAAACAATGCACGTATAAATAGAGCTCCCATCCCACCCCAAGCTGACACTGGGCAGCATATTTTGAATGGCTGCTTGGCGTGAGAACTGACAGTGCTTTGCTAGGGGGAGGCGGAGGAGCCTCTCACCTAGAAAAGTGGAAGGCATGCGGTGACCCACTGAATACAGGGTCGCAACCCACTTTTGGGTCACGACTCACCAGTTGAGAACCAAGGGTCTAGAGTACAGCTATATGTAATTCAGGGCCAAATCACAACATGCAAGTCTATTGTGGTGCATTTAAAATCACACCTGCAGCATTTTAGCAACACATTGCACCACAAAGTTAAGGGTTTTGGACTGGATAGGTAAAAATGTGAGCAATGTATGGCTTCCTGCACAGTAAAAGCACATTGTGAACCCTGTGTAGATATTAGCATGGCAGTGGGGATAGGGATTATCTGGATGGGCACCTTGTCAGCAGTGTATGGGTTTCTACACAACTGTGCTTGCAGGACTTAGCTGGGCCTATCCTTTTAAGCAGTTTCTGCTTAAAAAGGATAGGCCCAACCTTTCTGCAGTCCAGTACTCAACACCTTTTCATATTTTTGCCAAATGCTTGTAAATGAAAATTTCTGCTGTATCATAGGAGATAATCTTCCTTCACCTTGTGCTTGTCTACTTCTCTATGACATGAATTGTGGGAACACACTCAAAAATTAGGTCTGCCTCAGAACAATACTTAGCCATGAGGGCGGCAGCATGGTCGGATATTGAAAAGTAAAAACGTGCACGTCCGATTAGACAGCACACAGGTCTCTGAATCAAGGTCAGGTGCATTGGCAGTCATGCGGGTCACGTTTTTGCATTGTGGGCATTAACATAATCAAAGCCAACATTTACTTGCCTGGAGTTTCTGCTGCCATCAGCACCAGACTGCACTGTCCACCATGTCCTCAGGATCCCATGTAAGCTTTTTTTTTTTTCCAACACTGTGGGATCCCCTACCCTGCCTCCTAATGGCTCAGTATGTCTCCGAAACCTTTAGGTCCCTTTTAAGACAGAGTACGTGTGGGTGGGTCAAGCAATGAAAAATCCACAAACCTTGTGATCTCCAGCACTTTCTTCAGCACAGAGGACAACTTTGCAGCCTATAGTATGATACAGGAAAAACAATTAAGATAGTCAAATATAAGATTTCAAATGAAGGTAACTACACTGAAGAAAATAGGCAAGAAAGAGGCAATAAGTACAGAAAGTCTCAAATAAAACTGGCTGATCTATAAATCCTGACGTACGACATTGATACACATCAAGAAAAATCCAGCAGTATAGACAGGCTTGATGGCAAACAGAAGAAATTAAAGAAACATGGGTTGCCTGACAAAGGTGCTGTTGAAGGGTACAAAGGAGAGAAGGGATGAGTTACAAAATCATGAGTAGAATACAAAATGGAATGTGAGGAAGCCAAACTCCAGCCAATGTTTGTTTACCAAATTTTGGACAGTGGGAAAAGGTTGAAATCTCAGTTGGGATTTATAAATTCTGTGTCCCTATTGCAGAGATTTCTCCTCACTTCCTGTTCTGTCCGACATCGGTGAGGAAGAAAGAGTAGATCCCAAAAAGTTTTTGTTACCCCTCTCCCTGTTGGGAAGGTTTCTCCTCAAATCCTGTTCTGCCCGACACCCATCAACTAGACAGGAACAGCTGGAAAAACTACCAACATAAAGTAACCAAAGCTCCAACGCTTTCCTCGAAAAAGTTTTAATTGGTTTGGCTTTAAATGGTTAATCCATCAAAAAGTGATATTTTAGGTACAAATGTAGCCTGGTGGGCCAAGTCAGCCTCGGGCTTCTCATATGTTTGGGTTACTCTAACAAGAGATCTCCCTATTAAATTTGATGACTGCTCCTGTCCATCTAGGATCATTGGGTGTAACCACCCAACTTTCTGTGTTCCAGGCGTGCTGACCCAGGAACTCAAGAACACATAGTCCACCAACAGAGTCCTCAAGAGATATGACACTGTCAGGCGGTTTAACTCTCCAGCATCTACCAAATGTTGTAATATCAGTTTTGGATGGACTGACCCTTTAAGCACACAAGAGTATATCTTATAAGCAGACAGCCAAATGATGAACAGGAGGCAGCAGTGAGGCCAATGCATTTCAAAGGATTTGAAATTAGAAGAAACGTACATTAAGGCGAACAGCTGCTTGATTCATTGGAGGGTACATACTCAGAGCCAATTCATCCACACTGTTAAAATAAATATATTACAAATAATTAATACAACAACAAAAATCCATCAGGCAATTATATGTGTTTTAGAGTAGACCTAAAATCAAAAAGTTTAGATTAACTATCGAGAAATATTGCAGAAACCTGAAAAATTTATTTTTATCTTGAATTCCTCCTGAAAAATATCAGTGTACTATGTTTAACTAAGCCTTCCTGTGCCATCAGCCTCATATCTGTATAAATGCCGTGTGAGATCCAAGTCATTGCTGCCTATAAGTGCTAGTGTCAGGAGATTTTGTGCGAGGTTAAAAGAGAACTATGGGGTCAGTGTTTTTCCCCATAGTTCTCCTTAGGATAACGGCAGGACACAAACTAGCGTCCTCCCGTTACCCTAAGCTCAGTATACCGCGAGCTACAGTATACTGAGACGCCGCAGCCGGAGCGGATCCCGACGTAGATCTACTGAGTCCGACCTGTGACAGTCTCATTGTCACAGGTCGGCTAGAACTATGAGGTGAGTGAAAAGCACTCAGTTATTCACAAAAAAAGGGTGAAGAATCTGGAGAACGCAGGAGTGAACACTGTAGGGCAAAATAGCCGATTTGGAAAAAGTCTCCAATTCAACTCACTTTCTATTTCAGCTTTCTCTAAACTCTTCACCATTTAGTGAATAACCCTGTTGGTGATGTCACTACTGCACTGCTCACTGTTCTATTTACTGGAGAGGAAGCTGAACCCAAGGAGCTGCAGTGCATCCATCTCCCTGCATCTACTTTATTCATTCTGTGGATCATTATCTTCTGCACCTTTGCTTTTGCTTCTTGAATATTCCCTGACCAGCCATCAGATACACAGGTCATTAGAGGGGCAGCTCTGGTATGTGAAAGCAGAGTCCTGTCACTACCAAGATGATGCCTTTACACAAAGACATACTACAGAGCAGAACATAAATCAGTAATGGGGAAAAGATCAGCTGCAGGAAGACCAGAGTCAATACACGTAACTGCGGTCCCGGGTTTCGGCACCAAAAAATAAATAAATACACGTAACTGGTATTTTTCCCTCGGATTGACTTTTGTGGGCACAGCTTCCACATTTCATGTTCTCTTTAAGACATGAGCTGGCATGACGACAGGAGTGGCCATATTGCCAACAATAAAGAACAGGCACAGAAAAATGCCATAAGTCGTTTAAGATGTGACTATCATAGGAATTATTTATTGATTGTGAGAAAATATAGGCTGAAAGATCTCTTTGCAAGGTGTGTGGGTATCTTGTAAACACATGGGGATTTTCATTACCAATAATATAATAAAAGTGCACACAGCTTATACCTGGGGCTCACTTCCTGTGTAATATCGGCCAAGTCGTCCAGCTGTGCCACTTGATCTGCCGTCTCCACCTTCCCATGAGTCTTTAGGGCTCCCAGAACCTTCTTCAGACAGGCTTTAGAGGCCTTCATAAGGCCCAAGCATGGAGCAATAAGCCTGTGGTCTGCCTCGGACCAGTAAGTATCCTGATTTCCACGAGCACCCATTTCATCATCCTCGAGGACATCACTGAAGGGGTCCTCACCGCCTGCCAGAGCCTGTCACATTGCAGTGTTTTAGGTATTATTTGCAGAGCAGAAAAAGCAATAATTACAGAATCCCACAATGTTTTTTTTCCACATGACAGGGTAACATACCCAAACATACCCAAAAATATATATATCAAAAAGTTCCATAGCTTAAGCTACAATTTACCTACACAAAATAACGAGTAAGAGCAGTAACTTATCCCTTATTAATGGCTCTGGTCAAAGTTTCAATCAGGCAAAGCTAACAAACAGGCAGGCAGCTGTGGATGTGCCATCTCTTCAACTAACCCACAATGTCATGTATTAAACTTTTATTCACATATGAAAAACTACACAGAAAAAAGTAGTTAGAAAATGTAAACTTTCATAAATAAAAGTGAACCAAAATTATAGCCTCCCTTTAAAAAAATTCTAATCATTTAAAGGATGTTGTGTGTGCCTTCCATAGGAATGTATGGGGCATGGTTCATATTCTGTTGGATAGCTGGAAGCCACCATGAGTATGGATAATCCATATGAATGGGCCGTGGCACATACACACTAGAACCTAAGCCAGTTTTACTTGCAACAGCTGTGCTATTCCTGGCTGGGCTGCACAGTGATCTGGCGGCAGGCAAGAAGGCAATTGTTTCAACATAAGGCCTTTTTTTGAGGTGGGTGATAGTGATCGGGTGTAAAGTGGATCTTACCTGTTCCATCTCTTCTAGGGCATCCTTGACTACACCCAGATATCCAGATACAATAATTACGACAGCAGCATGGTTATCTGTCAAAATATTAAACCGAGAACAGATTCTATGATAATATATGTACACACACACACACACATGCATATACATACATACATACATACATACATACATACGCTTTGCATACTGCATGTTCTCAGGTCATCAACCAATTGAACATTAACCTCTTGCCGTCCGCCCGTTAAGAAAGAACGGACGGCAGACTCGCTCTATAGCCGCCGATCGGTTGTATGGCGTGCATT